TCCGGCTGCGTGTCGACCTCCGGCTGCGTGTCGACCTCCGGCTGCGTGTCGACCTCGGCGTCAGTGGTTGTTGAGTCGATGCCGTGCACGGCAGATTCGCGAGCGTCGAGTGTGAACGGTTCCTCGAGAAGCTTCGTCCAGACTTCAGCGTCTGGTGATGATCGGTCAGTACGCTCTTGCAGCATGACCCACATGAATACGTACGTGTGTTATCATCGACGTGCTCAGGCACCTCTTCGATAATCTCTGCGCTCGTCGCGTCTTTGATGCCTGGTCCGATGTCAGATCATCTCGGTGCACGCCTAACCGCCCCTGCTCACCGTCTTCGCGGACCTGCGTCGACGCACAGTCCTGCTTATCGTTAGCAGCTTTGCCCGACTCTGTTGCCTCTGCGAAGAGAGGTTGACGTTAGCCTGCCAAATGCGAATAGACCAGGATAACGACACTTACTGTGTGTCGATGATGCGTCAACCGCCGCCGCAACTTGAGCGCGGGCGGCTTCCTGGGCCTGGGCCAGAGCTAACCGCGCCTTGGCGACTGCCAGCTCGGCTTGAAGAACAGATTCCGACATGTCGAAGGTGCGTAAGAGGTTGAGCTCGCTGTTGGCTGGTGATGGTATGAGTTAGAATGCAGCAAGTAGCGAGTGGGGAATAAGTACCTCAAGCTAGCCCCACCTCGACGCACTTCCCACAACTTGAGCGCGATCAATGCTGCCCATGTACCATTTCCGGCGTAAGACGATCTCAACTTGAGCGCAATCAAACGTGCCCACGTACCCTTTTCAGCGAAAGAATATCAATCTCGGTCCCAGTATGACTCACGAATAGTGACCCCTGTATGAGAAGCATTTGTGCGGGCGAGCTTGGGCCGCCGCGCGCGATATGTGGCGTCGCCACAATTAGAGTTCGGCGAGCATCATACCTTTGTCAGTCCGAATAATGACCAATTCCTGTCACACACACAAGCACAACGAGCATTTAGTACAATCAGAGTCTAGCGGACGATTCTTCAAGCCCGCGAGGCCGCGCGCCATCGCCGTTAGAAGCAGGAAGACACACGCGCGCGCGCGCGCGCGTTGATGGATACGATTCTCCCGCGCTTCCAATTCACCATTGGCCTCGACCTCCGGTCTTCACCCCAACTATTGTGCACCTTCCTTGATTTTCTACGACGACCAGCTGACTACAAGTTCTCTACGACTATCTCTAACGTCTAACCCGTTTTTCCACCCCCTTGGTCTTCTCAACGTCACTCGTCGCCTTCCTACTCTCGACTTCCGTATCGCCCGGCGCAGCGCCTCTCTTCCTTTTTCCTCCGCCGCCATTCTTGCGCGAAACCTCACACTCTCTGTCCTGCTTCTCGCCCGCCGGTTGGCCCCTTCCCATCGTCTTCTTCACCGTCGCAGATACCACCCCGTTAGGCTCCAAAAACGCCAGATGTTTCGATTTCGTCCTGGGGATCGCTTCAGCAATGCGCTCGCGCGGCCAACGCGATGTACTCACCGTTCTCGGCCCGGACCCTTCTCACGGTCTGGCTGCCCGGGACCTGTCGCGCCACCCTCACCGCCTCCTTGCTAATTCGTCGCGCTGGACGTTGACGCGCGAACTTGGTCGGTGCGAATCTCCAGTACGTGGGCCAGATCTACCGCGCCCGCCTCCCAGTCAAGCTTCGACGTCCCATCGCGCACGTCCGCCATCGCATCAGCCCACAACATCAAGCCGAACACCAGCAAGTCTGCATATACGCTGGCCCCGCGTTTGCCGACGCCTACCCACGACGACTTCTGCGACTTCGAAGTGGCCCACGTATGAAAGTATCGAGGTCGAACTGCCCTCTGCTCGTGTAAGTCCAACTCCACCCAACCCTCACACGCATGGGCGGCCGTGGGCTGAACGTTCGATCAGAAAAGGAGTCTGATGCCAGACGTACAGACGCGGATCAAGACCAAGTGAGTTGGAAGCATGGCTCGCGTTTACCACTGCAAGCCGACCCGCCGCAACACACCAAGTGGCAAACGACGTAAACATGGAATCTCGGTCGATCCAATCACGTCTCACGATGACCCACCACGGCACCTTGGGACCAACAACTTGTGATATATTCCAGAACTGTTAATTGACGCGAATGCTTCGTGCCAGCGCTCTATACTCCATATGACGAGCTCTGTGCGTGACGGATGCAGCCTCGTCAGATGCGGACTCGTCTCAGCCTAGATCTTCCGGGACGACAATATCCCATGAAGGGTCTAAGACTATGGCTGGAAGGACGGGTCAAAGCGAACGTTAACGTAGGTTGAGGAAAGAATGACGATGTACATACCCTCGACGTGTTTATCTACATCGCTTTCTGCGGGCCCAGTCCGACGACCTGTGTTGATCACAATCTATCACCCTCTTTCATGAGTATTGATCACTTGTGGCATACGTTTCTCTAGAGATGTTGGAGACGGTAGGTTCGTGTGCGTAGGTGGCGTGACGGGACGCGCTCTTTTGCTTGAAGTGGCGAGCGATGCTGTGGAGTATTGCGATTGTCGAGCAGAATGAGATGGGCACTGTTGTGGTTGCCGTACGCATCAGAAGTAATTGGGGCCGGTCGAGCTGATGCGTAGACATGGACTCACCCCGCGAATCTTATCTGATGATGATGTAAAGGCCTTAGACTTCAGAGCGAGGAGCACTTATACATCCATCATCAGTCAGGGGGCCCGTAAAGCTGGCAATTGTTCAGAATGTACTTCGAGGACGTTTGATGGGCACCAGGGCGACAGGAGAATTGCGTAGTACTTCGTCTATCAGATGTCGTTAATACTGGAGCTCTTATCTCGCGCAACGCCTTATCCACCTGCTCCTTGCCTCGGAATAGCTGCTGACTGTTATCACGAGGGGCGAGCAGACATTGGAAAGCCTCGAAACTTGCCTTGGTTCCGCATCGCAGCGATTATCTCTGGTGCTGGATCTTCCACAGGTGCACCTACCCCGCCTATCAAAAATCTGTGCCATCGCGCAACATCCTGTTTGGGTGGGACAGACACTCCCCAGGTGCTGACCCGATCCCATGCTGGGTTTAAGTGCGCTATCCGAGCTGAAGACATTGTATGTCAGGCGGTGTAATGCGGCTCAACGTAAAGGAAGGCGAGCACGCCTTGGGCGTACCTCCTTGTTCCGCGGGTTTCCACCAGAATCCGCAGTATATACCATCCTCTTTATTGCCATGATCGATACATTCGCTCTCCCTTATCCAGGTGGGACATCTCCAGCTCCCATCGTCGTTCGGGACGGCATCAAGTCCATGATTACAGATTACAGCACTGTTTCTCGCCTGACCTCCAGCAAGAGGGAACGGCGAGTCCTGACAATTCGACCAGATTGTGGATATATTGCACGGTTTCAACCGCTGGAGGAGATACATGTGGTATACGTTCAAGTACATATGAGCGCTAACAAACATCGTTGGCTTGATGACAAGATAGACGATAGCGGCGATGTCGAAGAGGATCGGGTTGATGACGATTGCAGTCAAGTCACTGAGACTGCAACGGTGACTATGCCAGCCGCGTGGCGGTACCCCAACTTCGCTTCTTGACCGGACCACCACTGCTAACGTAAAGGCATACGGGGTTTCCTGGGATGCTGATGCTTGATGATCTGACCGGTGCCTCCTGTGTTAGCTTCCGATCAACCTAGTACTGGTGAGTCCGACGTGCGCCTGCATGTTCGTGAATGATGGGACACCCTTGTCGCACAGCTGATGCCGTATCAGTGTCACTGTCACATGAGCCATATCTTCAGACATGCAAACCAATATCCGTGTACATTCTACTAGGTATAATGCAGCGAGACTTAACTCAATGTGTCTATGAAGCCAAAGAATGGAATAAAGCAAGAACAGAAGACTACAATCCGAACGTACTACATCCTGTGACATATTCCTCAGCCTTCGCTCCCCCCCGGCCGGCTGCCGCTCGAGAACAGTCTCCACTCTTTCTCGTATTATACGCCCATCGTCCAGCGTATGCAGTTCTGCTCCATCCTGTCTCCTAGACCTTCACGGCCTCCATGTCGCTGGTTCCGCACCATAGCCTGCGCTCGACCTCGGCCCTCACACGAAGGATCATTGTGCGACATGTCGCGCCGAGCGTGGGTGTCGCAACTGTCCTTCGCTCATTCCTATGCCAAAGGCGTCCAGGAAGTAGGACGCATAGAAAGCTTGTCCTCGTCGTATTCCGCTGCTTGAAGCCTGCCATGGTACTGGGTCCCTACTTTCACGGTAGTTGTTGCGCGGCGTAGAGTGCTGAGACAGCGTATGCGCGCAAAGGCATGATTGTGCCCTCGCGCGGCGGATGGAGGGCGGATAGAGGGCGGATAGAGGGCGGACGTCAGCCTGTTCGACGTGACGCGAGATGAACGATAACAGGACGGCCTTCCTTGGTAACGCGTGAGCGCGTAGTTCCACGGGGAATGACTATTGTTCGCCACACACCTAATCTTTGTCTGCTGACAGTGACGCGCGCAGATCATGCCTGTCTGCGCAACAAGCCCTGGAGGCCCGTGTACACAGTAATTGCATCGGAGGTAGTTTCGGAAGGATCCCGCATCGTCGGCCAGCGAGAGGCGTGAAGCTGGGCAGCAGGGGTTGCAGAGCGCCCAGACACCCTACCAGGATGTGCGGGACTACCGCAAGCTGGCGTCGGTACTTCGGTAGACCCAGTTCACCGCGAGAGCATCCGTCGGGCGCCAAGAACGACTGCGGCCTTTCATGCGCTCGGTATCGCTCGTGGAGACTGAATGCTTGAAGAAGAGCGACGTCGAGAGGTAGCTCAGCAGCGCGAGGATAGCCGGTAGGGGCGGGGTCCACAGGATCGGCGCCGGGCAACGGTCTCGGTAGAGCTCGGCAGAGCTCGGTAGGCCCGGTAGGCCCGGTAGGCCCGGTATACCGAAAGAGCGTCCAGCGGGTCCAAGACGAGACCGCGGCCTTCAAACTTCCCTGGTGAACTCGTATCCGGTCGCAGAGCTTGTAGAGGGAGGACGGCTTCGACATATGGGCAATGGCGACACCGAGGTTGCGACGGCCTCCGGTCATCTCGGTGGGACCGGACCGGACCGGACCGGCAGAGCAAGACGGATCGGCAGAGCGAACTGCAGCAACTGCACCGGCTCGCTGTTCACCCACTGTCGAACACCAGCGGGCCAGGCCTGTCGGTGCGCCTCCGCTCGATAGAGGGCGAATTGAGCTAGTCCACCTAGAGATAACGTCAGCTTCAATACTTCGGTAACCACGAAGCGAGCTTACTCTGGCGCGGAGGCACGGTCACGGTCGCTCCCAGCGGTGACGGCGCGTGCTGGCGACAGATACGGCTGCGGACAAATGAGTCAACGGCACGAGACGTGTGAGGATCAGGTAGCGTACTCTATGCAGAGGCGCGCATCTGGACTGCGGCTCAGGTAACCTTGTACCAAGTTTGACGGCCAAAGGCGAATCGTGGGCTGCACGCTGCGAGCAAGGATCGCGTGAGTACATAGCGTATAGATGCCGCAAATGATCACATACATGAAGCGGAGTAGTCCGAGGACATAGAAGGAGCAGTACCGTCCAGTACCATCCCCGATACCGATCCATGTCACGGGCTGCGTCCAGTCAGTTTTGGCGTGCTTGACCGTGTACTCGATCGAGCCTACCTCTGTCCAAGTGTCGCGTTCGGTATTCGCCGTCCAGATATCGCCAGTGAGGCACGTTGCTGAAGGGGCCGGGTTAGGCGGTCGCTCAGCGTGAGTAAAAGTGGGTGAACGGCTCACCATTGAAGAGACCGCGCGAGATTGGGAGAAAGCTCTTGAGGATTGCGACTGCTATCTTGTCTCGTTTGGACTACGCAACCCACGCAGTGACGAGGAGCAGCTTCCCGAGCGCGCAAGTGAAGCAGGTGGATGGACATGAGATTGAAGTCAGAGGGTAGAGCAAGCAAAGGCGAGGGACACCCGGCGCAGAATCGTAGGAATGCCGGAGAGCTGCCCGCAGAGCATAGATGAGAGATTAGACGAGCGATCACGCAGGATAGTAAGAGAACGATGTCCAGCCGAGGTGAAGCGGAAGCGCGTCATGGAAGCGCTGTTCGTCTGCTCGAAGAGTAGGTCTCCGGTCGACGTCGAATACATGGTTGGCAGTCGCCGTCTTGAGTACGCCAGACGTCTCGGCCAGTACGGGCGGTACGCAAAGCATATCAGCGACCCCGATCGCGAGAGCATCCGTCCTCCGAGTGGCGTGGTGGTGGTTCACGTCCAATCAACAAGATTCGGCGCTTGCTCGAGCGCGAGAACGCGTCGGCGCCGCGGCAATGGCCGGATCACCCTGACCTTGCCCAAAGCTTTCGCTACAACTTCAAAGGCAATCGCCGCCGTCTATCTCACGGAACACTTGCTATCAGTACAGCGAGACTTTGCACATACCTGTCGGTGCTTTCCGTTCTCCGGACTGGCGAGGTTGCATGCGTTTGAGCCGTCGTGTCGCAGTCGGCTCATGCAATTTATTTCTCGCGGTCCTGAACTTGGTCTCTGTTGAGCTCTCCTCCTGCGCCTCTCAGTCGACTATCTTCGCCTGCGTGCTTGATAGCGCAGTATTCTTTCCGTACCTCTTCATGTACTGAACCACTGGGACAAAATCTCCCCCCATGTAGTCGTCAGTGGCAGATTGCTGGGCACGGCTTGAGCATGCCGCAATAGGTATCCGGAGGTTGTCCGCCGATTGGTGGATGGCTCGAACTCTCTTGCGTCGCCGGAAGGGAATTCCGCTTTGCAGTATTGCAATCTCTCAATACTGTCGGCACTTACTCCCAACCAGTCGTCTCCCCTAAAGCGCCCAAACGCTCAGCGTGGTTGCTATGTCTACCCCAACGTGCACTCCTCATCAAACCTCTTCTGAGCAGGATGGCCCAAACGACCTTGTACATACGGGTCAGCAAGAGAGGGAATATATCACACCAGAAGAACGCCAGCAACGCGAGGAATTGAAGGTGAAACTACGGGAACGCTTTGCCCTGCAGCAGGCCAGTATATAGCCTCCATCTGTACTAGGCGAAGCCTAAGTCTGATTTGTTGCGATGGTGCTGACCTCGGTATCTAGATGGCTAGAAACCTTCGTGCAAAGCTTCAATACGCTGCATACAAGGTCCGGCACAACGTCGCTCATCTCACGTTTGAAGAACTTGAACGTCAAGTCATTTCTGCCCAAGCCGAGTCAGGCAATGCGAGGATGTACCCACCGCCAGTGCTCTCGGCCACTGCAACCAAGGTCCACAACAATTTCGAGGCCATGAAACTGTCGACCGCGGACGCCATGCGTTTATCTACACGTCAGCCTTGTCACATTCCGGGAGGCGCAGAGGGTGTGAACGCCATCCAGAGTCTGTATGCGTATATCTTCACTCCGTCTTCTTTGCAACGGCCCGATCATGACAAGCACACCAACAACCCACCGGCGCCGAGAATGTCAACGGAATTCAGCAAGGACAAGCGTCACGTCAACCGCGATGGTGTTCTCGGATATCCCCACCGCGATGAAAAACATGCTCCCTTGATCAATCGCCCAAGCTCAAGCTCCTTGAAACGTAAGGCGCTTGAGGGATCATACCGTCGCAAGGCAAGCAAGCGTAAACATGGCGACAACCCTACAAGTGGCACCTACCACGAAGACGAGGATCTCGAGGCGGCAGTGACGCTGACTGGCCTCCGCAATAGTTAGTGGAGTTCGACGCGGGATGAACTGTCATCGACGTATAGTCTGTACGTTCTCGACGCCCTTGTGATTGACGATAGCTCATTGTCAACTGTTTGACACGTCTTAGTATAAACCATTGTTGCCCGTGTATGCAACTACGGCATCATGATTGCCCTAATCTCGAATCATATACAAGCTATCTCCTCTCCCTGTTTGAGCCCCAGTGCTCACTAGGCGTTTGCAACTCGTCAGCGGCACATTCCGGTGCACTCGTACCACCGGAGGTGCGCGCACAGTGAGACAGGTAATGAGCGCCGCACACTCGCCAGTATTTTATGTGGGCTGTGGCTGGATCGACACGCTTTCACCACGATAACCCCGGATCACCGACTTAGGTGTGCCACGCATACAACCAAATGTGCATGCCAAAGATCGTCACATCGACATCGACATCGCGAAAACAGTGAAAACGTGCCCATCGCGGTAATCAGCCCGGGTCGCGTCGTAGCGCTGGGCCAACCGCGCGTTGCTGGGCCCTGGCGAGCGCACGTTTCCAAAATTGGGTTCCGGTCAGCAGCAGCTCACCAGCTAGCTCGGGCGCGGGCACTCAACTGACGGATTGAACGACGAGCTTCGGAGTCCCGACTAGTTAGGGTATAGCTTTCCAGCTTCCGACCCCAGACCAGTCCCCTGATGTAATAGCGAATATTCACGTTGACTGTACAAATGAGAGTATGCTACAGCCCGAAACCGCGTAGTCTGGATGCATGCATGTGAACACGAAGAAGTCTGAGTCCAAGTCCGACGTCGAGAGAACAACAATGCGAAAGCGTAGTAAAACACGAGAGCGCTGCAACTGGAATCAGCATGGGTTATAACAGCATCTCACACAAACATAGTACTCACAGTCAACAAGCGGACGGACAATTGGGAGACTTAGAACGGACCTGCATCGGATAAGCTCGTGCAACGAAGTTACGTACATTGCACGCAGGGACTTCGCATTGTGTGCGCGCGTCGATTCGTGGCTAGTGCGATGTCAGTTAAGCACGTCCCAAGGAGAAACCAGAAAAGACGGACGCTCGTTGCCTTTTCGGAGCCGCTTCTTCGCAGGAGCACCCGCAATCTCTAAACGAAGATGTCAGCGGCAAGGCCCGTGTATACAAGATTACCGTTTACCTTCAAGAACGGGAATCGAATCGTCTTGACCTGGCGGCGGGCGAGTCGGAGATGTATGGCGCGAAGAGCCAGCGCGCGAGAGCGTCGGCTGCGGATCCGAGCGACGAGAGGTCGCACACAAGCACAATGATGCCACACCATTGGGAGGCGGTGGCGAGCCAGTATTAACTGTCATGCCAATGTACTCCCTGACGCGGCCCTCGCGGCCTCTATATGCGCGTCAATAACGCGCAGTGCAGTACTTGAGCGAGGTACGAACTGAGGGTACACTCGCCGACTCTCCTTGAGCGGCTTGCCGAAGTGCGCCGTGATAGACACACCTTAGCTCTTTGCAAACCCGTCGCCCGCGGCCGCATGACATTCTGTAGAAAGTAGTCAGCATGTGGTGCCAAAATGCGCTGTTGCGCGAGGAAGACACATGTAGACAAGAGAGAAAAGAGTCATGCAATGCGTGTAACACAAATCCTATATGAGCGAAAGATGCAGGAGTGAGAGCGAAAGAGAGGAGGGGAAGAAAGCGGGGTGGGCGCGAGGGAACAGGGCGTACCTTGCACCATCGGAAGAGGATCGTGGGTGTCAAGAGCAAGCTACACCACTGCGAAGCTTGAAGAGAAGTCGCGCGGCGCGTGCGCAGACGTTTGTGTCAGTGCTGCCTTTCATCCTCGATGGTGGTCAGAAGCAAGATGCGTAGCGTGCAAACGCGCCTCGAAGAGCGGTCGCTCGACGCGTAGACGCTATGCTCGCGTTGTCCCTTCCGGGCAGTGCGCGCATGATTCTCTCCCTCCACACCTTGCCCGCATCCTTGCCAGAGCTTGAGCTCGTGACTGACCGTATGCCATGAACACAAACTTTAGTCTATGGCCAATTTCTTTTGTTTACCTACATGTATACACGTATAAAGCGATCTTCTCGATGACATTAACACTGCGTAAAGTCCACTCGTGCGGACAGGCTTGCACGAGAACTGTACATCCGTGTCTGGCGTGTGCAGTCCGTTGTGATGCAGACCGACATCAGCCCACTCGCTAGCTCACACGTCGCTGGAACGAAATCCGACGGTTTTCGCGATGGATAAGAGAGGGAACATGATGGTGGACAATGACGAACGGTAATGCAACGTCGACGCAATGCGATGTTTGAAGAGTCGACACACATACAGAGGATATGGGCGGTGCGGGGCATGTGACGTCCGGGCATGAGTAATTAGGTAGAATAGGGGGGGAGAGATACGTTGGAGGGTACACAGAAAAGAGACACGATAGTAGGGGTATAAGAGTAGCGCTACCTGTAAGTAATACATACGCTTTGAGTGAGTTCAGTCGTGATTCGTGGTCATACGTTGCCTCTTCACTGGAACTGACTGGCCGGCGAAGCGCTCGGTCTCAGGCTTGGAGGCACCCGCACGCTTGCGCTTGCGGTCAGTGAACTGAAGGGGTCCACCATCGACCACCAGCTTCGCATCGGAAGGTGTTCCGCTCCTCGTGGAAACCGAGGCGGTTCCGCCCTCTCCTGTGGCTTGCGCAGTCTCAACAGATGACGCTCTGCTCCTTGTAAGGCGCGTGGGAACTGCGACGGGGTGATTCTCGTGAAGTCTAGCAATAGACGACGCCCTGCTTCTGGTAAGACGGAGCGTCCCTGCGATTGCCGAGGTAGCGCTCTCCCTCTTTGACGCTGTCTTGCCTTGATAAGCAGGGTCGTCCTGGCTTTGATCCCCGCTCCCATCCCTCACATCCTCTAGTTTCTCCTGGTTCTTCGCCTTGGTCTTCTTGCGAGCCGTGCGGTCCGCCCTCGCCTCCATTCCAGCGTTCTCCCCTGCCCATCCTTCTGCATGCACATATCCCCTTCTCCGTCCATGCTCGCCGTCATTCAAATCTTCGCCTATGACGCTTGTGCCTCGCGCGCCTGACGTCAGACCCTCGATATGACTAGAGAGGTCCTCGCTCTCAACCCCACCCTCTTCCACCTGTGCTTCGATAATTTTGGGCATGTATGGGGTCGTGGGCGTCACTCGGTGTATGTATCGCGTCGTCTCATTGGATGCAGATGTTCGTGCTATCTCTTTTTCGAGTGTGAGGAAGTCGACGGTCCTTCTCGGCTGTAATGATGTCTCCGAAGCACGAGAGCTATAAGGCGGCAGGTGCGAAGCTTGAGAAGTGACCACGTTATCGGATGCGGAGAGCGCAAGAAGAGGCCCGGCAGACTCAAGGTCATCGCTGATTCCTAGCCCGACCTGGTGAGGCCCGTCGTCCGCCGTTTCTACACTAGAATAGAGTGCGCGGCCGGCGTCAACGGCCGAGGAACAGCCATCTCGATACCCCTGTCTATCCCTACGCACAAGATAGTAACTGGGCATTGGATGCGGCGCGTGGAAAGAGATCGTGTCAACTTCGTGTTGATTGCTATCGTCCACAATGTCGGGCGCCGTCGCAGATCGAGATATCGGAGGAGCCGCCAGGCCTTCAAGGGCGTTCGTACCCTCGGACTCAGACTCTCGACTGCTTCCAGGGAGTATGAAAGGTGTGGAGGTGGCGTTCGAGAAGGAAGACGTGTATTCGCTGCTGCAGCCGGCCGAAGGAGAGTTCATGACAGCGGGCGCGGGATGCAAACCACCTGTGGATGCGTTACCGGGTCGAGTATGGTTTGTCGCCATGACTGAGTATGTCGAACCAACCGGCGCCTCAGATGTGGCGGTAGTGGCGCCTGCCTCTAGTATCTGGGCCTCGTGGCCGTTGACTGCGATTCGAGGTGCTGAGAACTCCAGGATGTCACCAGAACTCGTCGTCTGTGAAGCCGTCGAAGGGCGAAAAGATGCGCTATGAGACGAGTCCGATGAACCGAGAGCAGTCTGAATGTCGCATACGCGCTTAGACAGTTCGGACACGATGCTCACAAGGTTGTCCACCTGAACACGAATGTGTGTTACGTCTGCGGGGACTATAGAGACACATAAATTGGCGCTCAATGGTGATAGACTCACAGCACGTACCAGATCTGAATGCGACAGGCAATTCCGCGGTGTGTTCCGGCGCAGCCTGGATAGACAAGAAGCCAGCCTTCTTAGACGTTTCAGAGCCAAAGCTGCTCCCTCGCATCTCGATAGCTCGGCTAACCTGCCCTGGGTCCTCGTCGACCAACGATGGCATCTCGAGAGTTTGCGATGCTTCCTCGACGACGTTCGATGGCGCTCCGAGGGTTTGCAGAGCCTTCTCGATGGTAGACGATGGCGTCCCGACCGTCTGCGATGCCTTCTCAGCGGTAGACGATAGCGTCCGGACTGACTGCGATGGTTGCTCGACGATCTGCCGTGATTGACCAAGGGCCTGCACGTGGACTTCACGAGCCTGCAACAGGGGGGGTAGGAGCCGTACTGGCGTGTCGTCAGTCTCCCCTGGCTCATCGAAGAGTGTGTACTTCGCGAACATATCCAGAGCCGCCTCCATGTCCTGATCCTGAAACTCGACATTCGCAGCATAAGCCTCTTGCCCTTGCAGCGAGACCGCCTCCCCTTGTATACAGACCGCCTCTCCGTACGTCGTGTTGATCATGTCATCATCGTCATATTTGACTTGGGGTACGTTCTTATTGAAGCCAAGCAGCTCTGCGTCGCCCCCGATGGCTGAATCGACGATCTCTTGCTTGACGAAGGCAGGGACTTGAACTTCATGACAGCGAGGATACGCCGCCAAATACTCTGATTCCGAGGCACAGTAAGGAGGCACTCTCAAGAATAAGGATGTCATCTCGCTGACTTCGAACTTCGGGTCCTTCGCAAAGTCCTTATGATTGATTTGACCTGAAGAGGCATCACTATGAACGTGAGCCGTGGACTCAGATGATACAATGACGAGTTTTCATAAACGCACCATCCTCATCGATAAAGTCCGGCCATTCCTTGAGAACGCCCTTGTCGAGGAGCTTTTGCAAGAGATTTACACGGACATGTAACTCGGGGGCCCTCAACTGCGGTTTCGTGCCTCTAAAACCATTGGGATGCAGGAAACGAACGTTATCGCCGAGTGCAATTCGCTGGCCAGCAGCTGTACACTTTGTAGACTTGAGGTAGCACGACGCGCAGGCACCACCTATCGAGGACTTGCTGGGGCGAAAGATACATTTTGTTCGCTCTTTATGGCAATACTTGCAAGGGATCTGGGAGATGGAGTTCAGTGTGCGTACTTCGTCCACAGAAGAGATCAAGACTGACAACGTATTCGGATAAATCCGCCTGGCGCATGCCATGCATCTCGGATAACTGAAAGAGACTAAACAGGTCTAGTTGCTGGCCGGGTTCGAGATGGTCGTAGACCTGTTCTGCCGGGCGGCTTGGCGTGTATCTCAGGCCCCGAACGTACCACGTAGCGGGGTTGCGTGCCCTCTCCGTGAGCGTCGTCGCCACGAACTTCGGTTTCATCTTCGGTTTGCCCTTGAAGGGCTGTTTTTTCGGCACAAGCTCTTGTAGATGTTGCTCTTCGTCGTCGTCGCGGACGGGAATGGCGTCGTCCTTGCCCGTGCCTTTCTCCAGGTAGCCACCGACGCACCAATCCTCTTCGTCTGGATCGTTGGACTTCATATCGCCCGCCATGACTAGCGCGTCCCGGGGTGACGTCCGTGCGTTATGGGGCTGGGCGCTCTTCTTGAAGGGGGCGCGATCTGCCTGCCACTGAAGAGAGTGGCTGAAGGCGTCGTGTCCGTCCGGTAAAGGGGGTTCGGGTGTAGGGCTCGTCCTCTTCATGATCGGTGCAAGCTGAAACGGTTGTAAAAACGTCGGACTAGCAGAGCTCGCTGAGAACATGGCCTCCGGCTCACTCTCAGGCTCCTGATCTGCACATAGACGCCAGTTCTTCAGTCACAGTAGCGTCGAAGAATGCTGCACATACCGATGTAATCCCACCATTGGCCATCTCCATACCACTGACGTATATTCTTCCCGCCCTCATAATCCAGAGCTGCATAGACCGCGTGAGTGAACTTTCTTCTTGATGTCAAGTGCGCCGGGTCGCCCGCTTTTGCAACGACCAAGGCCATCATGGCGGTAACTGTTGGGTGGGGACTGTTTAGAGGAAAATTCTAAGTAGGCATTACTACGGTGCTCGAAGTTGAGAGTAAGCTGACAGACGTACTGCCTCTTGCATGAGAAGTTCGTAGCCCTTCTTGGCCATTTCAAGGGATGCTACGCCAAGTAATCTCTCCAGTATGGATCTGATGCGCGATGCGTGGATCCGTTTACGCTCCTCGGGTGGCTTCCCGCTATAAAGCTCCTGGAGTCTCGGACCTAGCAGGTGCTTGCGCCACATGTCGAGCACGTGTGCGTTATGTTCCATGGTATGGTATCAATGCGACGAGTAAGGACGGACGACAAGTAGAGACACGGGTAGGATTGACGTGTGATGGGAGTGCAATGGAAGCCTCCATCTGCTCAAGCCGCCCGCGAATGCATGAATTTCACGTGATCAAAGCTACAACTATGTAGCGAAAGTGCCCAGCATTCTTGGCACCTGTTCTCCAAGATGGCACACGTAGAAGTTGGTGAAAGCCATCTTCAGAAGGTGCGGTCTGAACCAAGGTCAGCCAGACTCGCTCATCCTGTGCTACGTCTCACCATCCAAAGTACGGTAGCAACCCTTGCCGGACGGAACGAGTATGCATGTCATTAACAGGACTTCGATGTCATGTATACAACGAAACAAAGTCAAAGGCAACGGAAAGATGATGCGAATGACACATGAAAGTATGACGCATGCATGCATAAGTTGAAATGAGGCACAGGCACAGAGCGAAGAGAGTACACAATATACAGTGACGCCCCCCCCCCCCCCC